CGAGAGTGATGGATGTGATTCTCTTGGGCATGGGCTTATTACCTTGTAATGTGAAGTTATAGAGCACGCTAGTGTATAGCTGCAGTTAGTGTTGGAGAGTTCTTTGTAGTTTTGAATTCTTGTTTTTTCTTTTTCTTGGATGACTTCTACAATTAAACGCAGTTTGATTTTGATTTTTTTCCGGAAGTCAGTTCAATCGACTTATTAGATGGTTCGTACACACTGGCCCCACCTTTGTGCGCTTCCTGAAAAGAGTTCGATTGATATGATGGAGGGATAAATAGAGATTGAACAATTGTAGAACTCACCGAAAAGGGACAAAGATATCGAAAAACAGAACAGATAGTATTGTGAGAGACTGAGGAAGTGTGATAGGGAGAACTTCTCTAGCTGGTGCTCTGGCGCCAGCTTGGGTAGTTCCGGGTTTGCATTGGCGCGAACCCGGATGTCAGCGGAGCATTTTTTAACTCTGCGACCATTCATGGTATTTGTGGAACATGTCTTTCTAGGGGTTTGGGGCCTAGTGGTGAAGTGGTAAATAGTCAGTGCAGACCGGACACGGACGGGTTCGGATCCCCCCCCCCCCCCCCCGAAAACCCGCGGGGGTGGCCGGCCAATCCCCAAGGAANTTGTTTTGTCTGTTTCTTTGTTTCATATTTTCTTTCCTAATTGTCATTTCAGATGCTTTTCGAGAGTTGGTCAAGTCGCCTGATATTCTCCAAAGGTTCCAGGATATTAGAGGATATTAGGTTCATCAACCACTTTCAAAGACATGATCGATGTTAACTACTTCGATCTTTGAAAGTAACATCTTACTGTTACCTCATAACTCCTTGAGTCACTCCATCTAGGAGTATATTATATAAATTCAAAACTCTTCAAACGTTCATTGGAAGACAAGTTATCCACAACATTTCTCTGAGAAATATCGTTTACACTNTTCATTGGAAGACAAGTTATCCACAACATTTCTCTGAGAAATATCGTTTACACTCATACACACGCAGACAGGCTGATACTCCGAATTTTGAAATAAGACATTTGGATCTTATAATCTTCCAAAGCTGGAGGAACATCTGAACGATAAACCCTTCGAAAACTCGCAAACGTTAAACAGCAGTAAAGACAATGAAAGGGGTTATAGTATACAGAGAGTCCTGTCAAAGACTCACGATCGGAAGGAAAGTAAAAAGTTGTTTCAAACAGAGGTAAACACTTATGAAACCATTATAACTGTTAGGAACCAGTATAAGAACCCCATGAGATCCCTATTAACATTTCAAAATCTTAAGCATATTTACAGATGGTGAACACGCCAAGT